AGTTCGGCCTTGTAACATGCACTCGTTTTCGTGCAAAATGCACTCATTTGTGGTTGTATTGGGATTAATGTAAGGATGCTAGTGAAATGTTTATCATTTTATTGAGATCATCAGTTTCGTGGCCAGTATAATAAATTTTAAACTATTAAGCTGGAACTTAAAATCCGTAAATAAATTTCATGAACTTTAGCACCACCCGATCTTCACAAAAAGTGTGGTGGAGAAGCTGCGATTTTTGGTTGAGGACGGATTGACATTTTTAAGATAACATTAGCACGAAATATCTTCCAGCAGACCTGAGTACCAGTCTTTCAGATTTGTTTCAGTAGTTGTGTATGAGAAATGGCTAATTGACAGGGTTGTAGCATGGACAGCTTCACGCGTTTTCTGCAAAAATTATGGGCCCAAAAGCACTGAGATTTGCGTTTAATCAGTAACACAGTTAGTGGATATTTTTATACTCAAGCGCATTAAATGTGTGAAAAGTATGTCTTTGTCCTGTCTGGGGGATGAGTAAGCGAAAGGAAATGCTTAAACAGATCTTTTCGATGTGTTTGCAGGCCTCTTCTTGCTAGTGGCAATCATTCGGACAAAAGTGTAGATGAGTTGTTCGAGAAAACAGATGCCACAATAGCCCAGGTGCGAAGCAATTTACCCGTTGATACCGTCGATGGTGCTTTTCATTTCGTGGATGCGAGCTCTCCGGACACTACGTTCAGGGTAATTCCATTCACACTTAAGCACTGGCGATTAAAAATTCTTAGAGAAAAAGTATTTTTGAAAAATTGTGTAGATCTGGGGACCTTAAAATTATTGTACTAAATCCTGGCTTATTTTCTTTTGCGGCGTGATCGCCGTTGTCAAAGATCGTAGGGGGAGTGTTACTGAAGGAGTTGGAGATACAATACTTTTGACATTTTTTTTGTGGAAGAGCAAAGAAAGAAAGCATTAAAGCGGTTGCCATAACTGCTGGTAGCTCAGTAGTCATTAGATGATACAGGTTGGTTAGATCGGCCTTGAAAAGCTCAAAACTGCGCTGATGGCGAATGTGTATTGTTGAAACCGTATTTTTTGAAAAAAACGTAGTTTCGATCATTGTAGCATTCATGCAGGGTTTGTACTTGCTGATAAAGCTTGTTGGAAAGCGCGAAATGAATTTCGCAAAATTATTTGTGTGGTTAAAAAATTAGAAACGAAAGAAGAAGGAGAATTAGGAGTGGTAAGAATCGGAAGGAGAGAGAGGAGAAATTTATGAAGCTGAGTTGAGGAACTCCGATTGTCATTTCTTTTCCACATATGAAGGCGAACTAAATACACAATCGATTTGAAGCGGCTTATTCAATTTGCTAAAAATCTAAGTATTTTTCAGGGACTTTGGCTTGTGCTGTTCTTCGTTATTTTTCTTTTTATATTTGTGCCACTGTTGCTGACATTTGTGGAGGAAGAGCAAACGGAGGAACATGTTGCCAAGAAAATCTCCTAAAATGCTGATCGCTTCGCTTGTAAATATTCACTGCTTCAACACTACTGATGTGTTCATTTTGACAGTGCAGTTGAAGACGTCGCGATTTTGGATTATTGCCAAACATTTGAACTGAACGCTAAACATAAATTTTCATTGTGATGAAGTCTGTTTTTAGGCAGCCCAAATCTTTTGTTACTTTGGAAACAGTCTTCTCAAAATCGTTATTCTGCTTGCTCTGATTATATCCCTAGCTTCTAGCTGTCACAGTAGTTTCGGTAGACTGACTAAATTGTTGAAGCTTGTTGATGAAATTTTTTACCTCTACTGGGAAAGCCCTTCAACGACCTTTTTTTGGTAATGCATCACGGAACCGATCATCTTGGTTGAGCCGAGACTTTATTATTCTCTTTTGTGCTGTTTTTGAGAAAGAATTTGCCTTGGTTCTATTTAGCCACCACTGTCACTTTTTTTTAATCATTCATTTCTCAATTATTTTCGCTTGAAAATTTCCGCCGTAGGACAACAAGAAAGATGCTACTCAGTGTAAAACTAATTTTTTTATATTGAGTTGGCCGGAAAATAAAGCCCAGTACGACTGGGGGATAGAACAGGCGATGGGTACTAACTGGAGATGTACAGCTCGGGATCGAAGGGGCTGGCATAGCTGGGTTGGGCGTGATGGAACACCTTTGTAACATCACCGAATCTTGTACTGATAGCCCGAACAGTCTTGGTGTTCCTGGTATTAATGGTTTGTCCTTTCATTTTATGTTGCTCGTATGTGCCTGATTTCTCTTTTTCTCCAGCTCCCATTGACTGTGCCCTTCATCTTTCTTTTATGGTATTATCAGCTCTGTAGCTTTACCTCTTGCGCAGTGAGAACATCTTTTTCGCTGTATATACTTGCCAGTGTCATTGT